GTACATATTCACTTGCGATTCATGACCATCGGGATTTGCATTCGTTTGTCAGACTCTCAAGGTGTAGCGAACGTCAAGTGATGTGCTGCGACACATTAGGCAGTAAAACATCTCGTAGCAATTATACGGAACGATTTGTTCAAAAACGATTCCAGATATTTCATTTATTACTTAACTTACACCTATATCATTTCCATATTTCGTTCTGTCCATTATTGCTACTCTCCAATTTTTGATATCTTTCCTCTTGGAGACGTTCCGAAATTTATATTTTTTCCAAAACTATCGATTAGATTTTTGATTCCTTCCAAATATCCGTATTTTTTTCTCGTAGGTGTTTCGAAAAGTCTCTGCTAGCCTATGTTCCATTGTTTTTCATCGACTCTTCAGTTGCACATATGAGAATTTGGTAGCTATTAAAGGATTAATGACATTCAATGATGATGGTCGTTATTGTGCAGTCGTATTGCGCTGTAATTTAGAGTAATGTTGAAAGAAAGTGAAAGATATCAGTCGAATTACAAATTTCCTATGAGAAAAACATCTTCTACTGATGCATTAATGATTATGTGCATACAATATCCCAATGCGATATCTCAGGCGCAGTTTTAATATCTGAATCGATACGATTCCCAAAATATAGCAGCAGTCGGCTGTTGCTGCCTCATTAATTTAGGCATGCGCAAGTAGGGATATGCGTTATCCGTAACTGGATTTTGTCTACTAATTTGTGGAGCAAAACATTGGCCGATGCTTACGTTGCTTTATTTCAACTTGAATGACCAAAATGATGTTCTTCTCTAAATTCGAATTTCAGCACAACGAAACCCTCTGATAGATTGAAAATGCCATCGCAAAATTCGTCTGATTTCGTTGCGAAATGGCTGATGAAGCTCAATCCATTCGCACGTATCACGATTGTTATCTCGGGCGCAATTTTGATTCATCTCTCATTGGGCACGTATCACACATTTGGTGAGAGGCATTTCTCACCTTCAAGCTTTCATGATTGAATTTGTGCTTCGAATACAAGGAAATCTGATGAAATGAATTGCCCATTTGCAATTCATCCATAAAGAATTTTTTGTTTGCTGATTATTTGAAGGATTCTTGAATTAGTAGCAAAACACAAATAACGGCACAAGGTTGCAATATGGAATGGAGCCTGTCTTGCCTCATTCAAGATTTATTTTTGCATCCACCTCATAATATCACACCGATTGATCCGTTTGGATGATTAATTCCGTGTTTTAGGCAATATGTTACCTTATATGGCATCCTTCATGCGTAACTACACAGATCCCACAATAACCGTTGAGCAACTTGTGTGGATTCCGACGTTTCAAGGTGACTGGAAACTTTTTAAATGATTTCATTAATCGGTACGCATTTAATTTCGAGTGTTGTTTTCAATACTGAATCTTATAACCATGAACGACGGTTGTCTACATTTAAGGTTGTTTCCCGTTTGCGATGGTTATTGGAGGTTATTTGAGTGCACGGTTGGGGCCAAGAACAGCCAGTTTTATTGGATGCTTATTGATGGTGTACGTTTGAACATACATTTATCTGTTTGTGATTGGAATGAAATGATTCACGAAATGAATGAACTGATATCCGTATATAATAATTTAGGAGTGGAGTAATGCTATCGTTCTGGACAATTCAAAAATCGCTATTATTATTCATACTCACTTACGGTTGTATGTTTGGGCTCGGACAAGGCATGGCCTATGTTATTGCAGTCGCCTGTGCTATTAATGTTTGTGGCTATTTTATGATTTTCTCATATCCGATATCGTGCCGTTATTATTTCGTCTAGATTATAGAACCTTCCGGCATTCTGGTCACATCGGTTTGACGCCATTAGTTTGTTGGCGACGAAGTTATTCCTTCTCAGAGGGTATTTCGGTAGTCAACTGACTCTTAGCAGAATCGTCCTTCCTAGTTGAAACATAGGTCGAAAACAAATCAGCCTGCATTCATAGGTTCTGACTCATAATGGTTATCAGCAGGAAATGAGCTTAATGAATATTCCCGGTCACATTGATCTATAAAATTGTAATTTACTGGCTTTCAGTGGGCTCCAGAGCATGTCGGTTTTGTGAGCGGTGTAGTCGCAGCAGGATTTGGTATCAGTTCATCGATATTCACACCCATACAAACAGCCATCATAAATCCATGGAATTATAAACCAAATCGTGACGGGTCAGCTTTATGCTTCAAATTCGATCGTCGACACTTGATATTGTGATGTCGCATTAAGCGATATCGTTGTTTGAAAGAGTAACGACGACGATACCGTCGTGTTTTCAGTGTCCATAAGCACTACCGTTTAGCTGATGCCTTCCCTAATCTCGGATCGTAGCTAGATCTGAACAGCCATTTGAACCAATCCGCATCTCTTAGCGATTTGCTAATATTCCTCGTGATTATTGTCAACAATATTACAATTAAGTTCCGATACGATCCAAATAAAATGATTGGAGTTTTTGGGCGAAAAAAGACACCAACCAGCACTGAAGTTGTGAATTAAATTTGTGAAATGCAAAAGTGAGCAAGATATCAGAAAGTGTAAAAGTAGTTTATTGAAGATAATTCAGGTACTTTCTTGAAAAAGAATTGATGCTACGGGTACCACCTGTATTTCTGACGTTATCAATTGTATACGCGATAATGCAGGCTATTGGTCTTATCGTCATATGCGATCCACCCAATACGGTTTGTATTATTAATCGGCAAATTATTTCATGACCACCAAACATTCATATATCCTAAAGTAAAGTAAATTTTATTCCAGAAAATTCAGGATGAATAGTGGTTTTAGAGATGTTTTGCTTCTCAACTGCTCAAGGCAGTATTTTAGTCAGGATATTACCGATGTGGTAAACAATAAAAAATATAATAATAAAAATAATAATAATAGTAATGGCAGTAACAATGTCAGTGATAATAATAGTAACTTTAATACTAACAATACTAATGTTAATAATGATATTCATAACAATACTCTTCATAATGATATTTTAATAATGAAATAATAATAATAATGACATCAAAAACGATATCAACGTTAAAATACTATCAAAAGTAATGGTTCCAATTGAAGCGTTGTCCTCAAGACGATTTGGAGCCACTGATGGACGAAGATGAAGAGCCATGCAAAGAGGTTTCGATGACAACCAAGCAGATGCTCAGCAGCTCAACATTTTACTTCTTATTTATCGCTCTCTTCTGCAGTTCATTTTATGGCAATATGTTTTATAATCTTTACAAGGTTCCTTTTTAGACCAGTTACATAAAGTGTCTTAAACTGTTCATTTGTTCTACTTTATATTAATAACATTATGATGTTAATGGATACTTTTGTACGCCTTCAACTGTAAACCATAAGGTCCCATGTGGACTATCGCAAAGATCTTCTGGATGACAATCCATTTAGTGAAGACTCATCAGTTTTTTCACTATCAATTTCACCGTCACCCATAAATACGTTTGTGATGTAGTTCATCTCAGATATTAAATCCCATATGTCTCATTCCTCGAAATTATCACCTCATAAGCGTTCGGCTTCATTTCTGCGGCTTATGCTTCTGGAATATATCATGAAACAATTTGCAGACGTACGCAGAAACATTCATCGATGACGATATGTTTATGGCATTTGCGTTTAGTGTTGCGTCAATAGTGAATGCGATCGCGAGAATTGGTTGGGGCATTCTGACCGATAAAACAAGTTTTCAGGTTTTACATTTGTTTTGCATTAGCAGAGTTCATTTTGTTGTTTGTTCTTGTCGACTGTTCTGAGATAGGGCAATGCTTTAAATTAATGGAGAGAGATTTTGAGGAATGGATAAAATTTTATGAAAAGTTTTGCATAAGGTTTCATGAAAATGTCTATTAATGTCTGAACTACATTAATTCGCTAGAAAATTCATTTGCTGCTTTGAATAGTTCAAAATTTGATTTCGTTTAGGACAAAATCTTAATGAAAACAATTATTTAGATGTTTGCCTTGAGAATAGAAAGTGCGATTTCATAAAGTGGATTTTTTCAAGAAACTTTCATATCTGTCGTTTTTCTTCAGTGAAATGCACTCATTGTTAGATCTGTTATAGGCATCGTTATCAAGCGCCACATTATTGGCCACAACTTTATTGTTGACAATGCCAATGACTCGAACTGCTGGCAAATGGGTTTATTTCCTTTGGGTACGATTCTGCTTCATTCTTTATTATCAATCTTATTATTGTTAGTATGAGTGTCATTTTTAAAAGTATAGCTGTTATTATCAATGC